TCAAATAAATGATGAATGAATTCAAAATCCGTTGCGTAGTTTAAAAGATCTAAGCGTACAGACGGCGGGAAGCGACTTTATTTTGTACTATGTAGAGATAGTAAGTGGATGTTGTAGCGTATATGCACCTATATATATATATATATGTATATATATGTGTATAATATGTATATATCTGTCCTCGATTAAGAATAAAGACAAATTGCACATGCGTTGTCATCCCTAAAGGGTAAGATGGAATGCCTCGTTTCCAGTAAAAAGTGTATCTCGATTCTCGTCGCTCTCCATACGTTATATAGCAGCATCAAGCTGCTATTTCGCACTGGTATATTTTGTGAGCGTTGTCGTTCCCTGATCGAGGCCAACCCATTTGTACAGTAGCCATAATTCAGATTCAGCGTGACTCTTCTTCGAAGGAAATTATTTTATTCCGATTATTTTCTACTAAATAAAGAAGCTTTTTTGTGGTACTAGCGTAACCTTAACGAATCTTTTATTTTCTACACTTTTAATGAATTAGAAATGTTAAAGATAAGTTCTTCAAATACTTCTTAAAAACAAATCGGGTCAGGCGCTTTCGTCGTTTCTTTTGTGGCTCTATTCAATACCTTTTACCATTCCAGTTTCCAAACAGAAAATGTTCTTTATCTTTAACCAGCAATTTAATATTTGTTTGACGTAGCATTTTAATTAGAGGCCTTTTCCTGTTACAGTCAAGACCGAAAAAGTGTTTATTATATATTTTGTATATTAAATATCTGTGTTTTATATACTCGTATTAATGTGCAGTTGAAAGCGTAGATGATACTCTCGTATAAATACTTAAAAGTTAAGACTTTTGATTACTGTCGAATTTCGACCACTGTACTACCACCCATTACAGCCTATAAAAGTCCACTGCTGAACATAGGCCAACCTACAATAAAATACAAAGTTATATAAGTGGGATTTGCCATAGTTGCCACGCTTGGCACGCGGTTTGCCAACCGCAGTTCTTTATTATTTAGAGTTGTTATCAGGAATATGCTGCTGTCCATCTCCTGTTTTCATTTCCCTCTGTAGCCTCTTACGACACCCACGAGACGATCTGGGGTACCGTTACCGTTACCGATACAGCCTATTAAAGTTCACTGCTTAACTTAGCCATCCCCCATAGATTGCCTCGTAAGGGGTATATTTGACACAATTGCCACGTTTTGGCAAGCGGGTTGCAAATCGCAGTTTTTTTTTTAATTTTTAGTCATTATCAGAAAGACGTTGCAGCCCATCTCCTGATTTGTTTAACTCTGTCGCCTTTTACGTCACCCACGGGATGATATGGGGTAGTGGATATTCTTACACCGCCACTACACGGTACTGGACGACCACTAGTTACATAATTGTGACGCTACCTCAGTATTTTTGCGGCCATCAGCAATGCTGCTGTGTGTGTACATGTCAGAAGGTTATAGAGACCTAGAATTCGCCTTTAGCCTTTGTTTATTATATATTCGTTTGATATTTCAATTTAATAAAATAAAAACAACTGTCAGCAAAACAATCTGGCATAAAAATTCTGGTATTTATAAAATTAAAATTGCGAGATTTTAATAAACAAAATTGATGAAATTCTCACGATTTTAATTTTATTTATTTCTGCGCCAACGATCCAAATTCAAACTAAGTTAAAACATTTCTAACGTTGATTAAATTCCTTTTAGGATTCACGAACGTTAGAAATAAGTTGATACTGCAACCATCAATTTCGATGATGATCATATTTCCAACATCATTAAAAGCAACTTTAACTCACACTCACATTTCTGAACCCGTGGGTGTATTATTATTAAATAGCATTAAGGGGCTACTCCATGCGAACGACCTTGAGCATTTGACCGCTTGCTACAATATTAATATATTGTAGCGAGCGGCTCGCCGAAAGAAATATGTAAGACGCCACCTATTGTACGAAAGTAGTATTATTTTTTCAACATCAATAAACTATTTTATGGAAATACACATAGCGTACAAAGATAAATGTATTTTAATTTTTTTATTCTGTATATATTAGTTGCATTATATTAGAATTATGTATTTTCATATATTATCTAATTATGAAATTTTATAATTAATTATATATTAAAACTGAAGCATTGAAAATTGTGAGTTTAAAAGATACCTATTCACTATAGGTAAATAAATAGATAGCTCGGCTTTTGTACAAATATTTGGTGCAATAAAAAATAAATAAATAAATAGGATGTTTCGCATATGTGTTTTTGATTATTGTTAATTTTTACGTGTCACGTATTGAAAAGTTACCTACTAATTTTTGAACTTATGCTGGCAGATATTATCCTCACCCCAATGATTGATGAGGATGAAAATCAATTTTATTTCTACATACGTAATTATATTTATTTATACATAAGGGTAACTTTAATAAAGGTAATACAAAAATCAACAAGAAGTATAAGGGTTCAATCTTTCAATTTCAGTTGTAAAAAAACGTTACCCCCACACTAGGATTTTCTCCTGTGTCGTGGAGGCAGTTTACAAACATAAATTGCACAAAGACAAATATCCAGACCCGGAACAATTATTTGTAGGTCATACAAATACTTGTTCCATGCGGGATTCGAACCCGCGGCCCCCAGCGCAACAACTGATTGCTAAGCCACTGCGCCACCATGAAGCTAATACAAAGACTAACTTTGTATTTGCTTCATGGTCGCCGGGTTATAGCTAAAGTGACCATACGTCCCGTTTTGAACGGGACTGTCCCTTTTCTCGGTCTCCTGTCCCATTGTCCCCAAACAAAGCTCCGGGACACAAAATTGTCATGTAACTAGTTGGATGGAAGTATTCAAAGTCAACAATCTTCAACATAATTTTTTTAATCGAATATATTTTATGTCTACCTGGTACGAATGCTCCGGTAGAAAGAGTATTTTTTTATTTTGCATAAATTGTGGACGTCTGAAAGAAACACTTACGGTTCCAGAGTTCTAAAGGCGATGTTGTTAACAAAGATAACAATAAAAAACTTGAGCAGAATTTTATTCTTATTTAAAATCATCACCAACTTTATTAAAGCAAATTTAATCCACTGACAAATGTAATTAATAATTAAAAAAAATATGTTGCATTTAATAATTACCGTCTATACCGAATATAATTTTATAGTGAACACTAATTGTATAAAGTTATAGTTTTTAGAGTATAAATAAACCCATGTCCTGTTATGAGTTAAAAAATAAATGGTCAGTTTAGTCTTTTTAGTTAAATTTAGTTTTAAAAATTTTTAGTTTATAGTAAAAAGTAGGTATATTAGTACTTTTTACCGAATTATAAGTATAGAACACCTTATGTACTCAATTATTTTTTGAAAAAGAAGAAAAAACAAGCAATAAATAATATACTATATTTTAGCAAAAAACTATAACTTAGTAATACTAATTATAACTTAGAACATAAATGAAAAACTCATAACTGACTTTTTGGCCCGACCCAGGATTCGAACCCGGGACCTCATGATCAGCAGTCGCACTACTACAACCACTAGACCAACGAGGCAGTACTATACCTGATAAGATATTGTGGTTGGGTGATAATATTGAATTAGCCTTTTATAGTGTAAATTATAATATTTGTCCAAATTTTAATTATAGATTCGAACCTTACATGCTAATGGTGCTTCATTTTTTTATTTGCATTTACTTCAAAGAAAATACACGCAAAAAGCTTCATCGCGCAGTAAAAAACACAACAAATATATGTATAACTAATACGAAAAATTATACCCAAAACAAACAAATAATACTACCTATAAATAACCTAATAAGTAATATTATTTATCGACTGATATTACGTGAGTGTATGCGGCGCTGGTCGACGCTCTAACGACACGGGCTTCGCTCAGGGCTCAATGACTCCAGCAAGCCCGTGAGCAGTGAATATGCCCAGATTTTAAAATAATTTCTTAATAAAATCAAATTTTGGTCTTTTGAAAAAAAATTTACTATAGAAATGTTCATTAATAAATTGCCAATCCATTGGTGTAAATCGCAAAATAAAATAATACTTACTTTACGAGGAGATGCATGTTATCAATAATAATTTCACATTTATGTGGTTTCGTTGTAAGGAGATTATATTAATATTTATTCCTTTAAAAAAAAATTGGATATAGCTTTTATGGAATCAAGATTATGTAGAAATATAATGTGTTTTTTATTTGTTGATATATCTTTTAAATAAAAAGTAGATAGCTTCTAAAAACCGCCCAAATAACGACTAGCGCGACATTTTGCTCAACCTGCGCCTTAAGCCACGTATTCAATGGCAAACAATGTTTCATCGCGGGTATGATGCAAGAAGCTATGGTTCTGAGGATTTCGCAACAATTAGTTAATGCAAATATTTATTCATACATTTAATTATTTATTTTTCCTATTACAAATTAATACAAAAGACGGATTTAATACCGTTAGACATTCTCCACCAGTTAACCCATGAAGTCGTGAGATTTTGACGTAGATGTGGGAATGTGGAGAAAAAAAAAATGTTGAGTTATCAGTGCGCTTTACAAGCTTCGGCTGTATCACCACTCACCTGAAAGCATATAAAAGGGAAAATTACTTCAAGAAACACGGCCCGTTAACTATTATAATAGTAAAAAATGAGCTGAGAGCAGTTCCATTATTGTCCTAGTTGACAAATGGTTTTTACAAGTTTTTTATTACTTGCTTTTTTTGTATAACTCCCTAGTTCAAAATTTTAAATAAACTTTTGAAGCATTTGCTGATATCCGATTGAGATGAAATTCATCATACCTACCTATTGATGTAACTTTCATGACAATAACGTGGTACCATGGAGCTGGGCTAATGATGGACTGTGATGCTGGCCTTGGCAACGCTTGTAATAGCTTGTTTTTAATTATATTTAATATCCAAACACGCTTGTTAGTTGTTTTAATATTTTCTCGGGTTGTCTCACATCATCATTCATCATCATCATTACAGCCCTTCACAAGTCCACTGCTGAACATAGGCCTCCCCCAAAGAATGCCACAAAACACGGTCCTGAGCCACCTGCATCCATCGACTTCCTGCATGTCTTACCAGGTCGTCACTCCATCTCGTGGGGGGACGCCCTACACTTCGCCTACCGGTACGAGGCTGCCACTCGAGAACCTTTCTTCCCCATCGGTTGTCGGTTCTTCGAGCTATATGGCCGGCCCACTGCCACTTCAGCTTACTAATCCGTTGGGCTATGTCGGTCACTCTGGTTCTACTGCGGATATCCTCATTCCTAAGTTTATCACGCAGAGAAACTCCGAGCATAGCCCTCTCCATAGCTCGCTGAGCGATTTTGAGCTTCCTCATACGGCCAGCAGTGAAGGACCACGTCTCAGTTCCGTAAGTCATCACTGGCAACACGCACTGGTTGTACAATTTCGTTTTAAGGTTTTGAGGTATGTCTGACGAGAAGATGTGTCGTAGCTTCCCGAACGCTGCCCAGCCGAGTTGAATCCGTCGATTAACCTCTCGGTCGAAGTTGGACTTACCCAGTCGGACTATTTGTCCCAGGTAAACATACTCGTCAACAAATTCGAGCTTAGTGTTCCCAACAACTACCGGCATAGGTGTGACATGGACATTAAACATGATCTTAGTTTTGTCCATGTTCATCTTAAGACCTATCCGTTGGGAAACACTATTGAGGTCATTGAGCATAGTGCTTAGGTCCTCCAGCGATTCTGCCATAAGGACTATATCGTCGGCAAATCGAAGGTGAGTGATGTACTCGCCATTGATGTTGATACCGTATCCTTTCCAGTCCAGAAGCTTGAAAACGTCTTCCAATGCAGCGGTGAAGAGTTTCGGGGATATGACGTCACCCTGTCTTACACCTCTCTGCAATTGGATAGGTTTCGTACTCTGGTTCTGTACTCGGATAGCCATCGTAGCCCTACTGTACCTCTACCTACTGTGTCTCACATAATACGCTATAATTCAAAAAATTGTGGTACCTAGATAATAATTAACACAAATTGAATTGAAGTTTTCCGTCGCCACACACTACGACAATTCAAAAACAAAATTCATTAACGGGTAAAATATTTCGCTTGCTCCTCATCGTCAGTACTATGGGAGCACGGAAACTGCTCGAAACGTAGAATTTACTTGGGGTGTTTTATGTACTTGGGAAACGTAATTAATTGTTTCAGAAACACGAAGATCATGTTTCTAAAACATTATAAATGGCTGAGATTAGATTCGAAGGTAATTACATAACAAACTAATATTAGGAAACTACTGTGGCCCGTAAATATTTCGTTACCTCTGCATACCTCTGAATGAGATGGAATGCCTTCAGTTGCATAGTTTATTAGTTATGGTAAGAGTAGTACTCAGACGAATTCTTGAGTAGCCATAAGTTTTCTTTGTATTAAATAGTAAATATTATAAAGTAAATAACAAATTTCATGTTCAACTATGTACTGGCGGTGTAAGAATTTCCACTACGTAAGACGCGACAGAGACGCGAAAACTGAAGTAGATGTTCAGCAGCACCTTCCTGATAGAAAAATAACAAAATGCTGTAGCCAACCCGCTTGCCAAGCATGGTAACTATGGTAAATATCTCTTCTAGCAGGTAACCAATGCCGGAGGCTCATATTCTGCAATTGACTTTTGACATGCTGTAATGGTTTTTTAAAAACTAAATTAACATTACTATTGTAGGTACTATTGTAAGTGGTGCCGATTTGAGGGCTTTAATGTTAATGGCCTCAAAATGCTGGTTTAGGTCTAACTGATTGTCTGAGAGTTCCCACTCATTACAAGGAATGCATTCGATTCCGCTGAGTAAGTTCCACCGCTGAGTAAGCTTGTACACAATCACTATCTTAATCTTTCAGTTCGTGTCTATTTTTATACATTCGTATTCTCATATATTTATTTGTTATTTATTTCCATATATCATAAATACTGCCCATTGTGACACTGTTCTTTTCTTCTTTCGTTTATGTATTGTTTTTTTTTATATAGGATAGGGTGACAAATGAGCACACAGTCCACCTGATGGTGAGTGGATGCTGTAACCCATAGACATCTACATTTATCCTCAGTAAAGAATCAAAATGCAGATGCGTTGTCAGCCGTGAGAACTAAGATGGAATGCCTCGTTTCCAGTAAAAAGGGTCTCTAGTTCTCTCTACACTTACCATACGAAACACAGCAGCGTTAAACTGCTATTTCACGTTGGTATTCTGCGAGCGCGATCCTACCCTGGTCGAGCCAATCCATTCGTGCTACAACTACATATGGCATATAGGTTAGCTTGTAAAGAATGCCATATAATATTATGGTCGCCTTTTGTACAAGTATTTGGTGCAATAAAGAATAAAATAAATAAGTAAACTGCCTAAAATAAATAACTAAATAAAAAAACCAATATACCTGCAGCATGGCTCTACCACGTTTTGGGTGTACAATAAAGAGTTATCTATCTATCTAAGTCGTCTCTAGCATAACACAGAAGGGCGTGGGGGATGCATATCTATAATATAGTAAATATAATCGACTACATCAACAATGTAAAATTTTACGTTGTTATAAGGTTATTTTATATAACGATAAATGATATAGATTTCGTCAAATTGTGTATTTTTCCAATAATGAGAGCAATTTTAACGAATAAACAAGATTGAACTTCAACTGAGTATCGATTACCCTGTAAACAGATCGCTCTGAGCTGTTTTATAAGTGTAATCTAAGTCATGTTTCCAGTTAGCGGGCAACTGGGCGGTTCAGTCTGACAAATATATTCGGAATAATACAAGCAGTACTTTAGAAAGCCTTACAAACTGAACTTAATTGAATCGTTGCTGGCATTTACCACGGAGAGTGCTCTGAAGAATTGTTCGGATTTATTCCAGCCGCCAAATTTCACCAACTTATGTCGCGACAAATCTCACACTACCATCCACACCATCTCGATGCTTGTCGGTACACCGGTACGTTTTACTACGAGTTTTCTTCATCGCGCGACTTCTTTGTGGAATCGTGTACCACCGGCGATTTTTTTGGACCGATACGACTTAGGGACCTTCAGGAAACGAGCTTACTATTTTTTAAAAGGCCGGCAATGTACCTCTCAAATCTGGTGTTGCATGGTCGTTTGCCGCTTCTTCTATAAAAAAAAAAAAAACTTTCGGGTAAAACACCCACGCACTTTGTGTGTGATATATAAATTCGAGTTTCAAATAACGTAACTCTTATTGATCGAAGAAAACATTCACAATGCGATGTTATATTTTTATAAATCATCTCCAAAGCGATATTCGTGTTATAACACTTGTAAATGAACTCGATGTTGTGGTTAACTGAAAAAGAAAGTTATTCACAACTACAACAAAGAAGCTATACTTTACTACTCTTTGTGATTTTTGCCCTTTTCATGTAGAATAATGGTGACGCACATGCGTCGCACAGTCCACCTGATGCTAAGTGGATGCTGTGGGCTATAATGCTATAAGTTCACCATCTACTATATAGCCCATAGCTCTAAAGACACTTGTTAGTTATTAGAGAATGTTATTTCCTCATTAAGAACGCCTCGTACCTATTATTTTAAATGCATTAAAGAATTTTCTATCTATCTACTATATGTAACAGGTAATTGCACCGAAAATACTATATTTGACATAAAAAAGCTAGCACCCCTGTTTTAGCTACGATAGCGAAGGTAGTGAGGTGTGACGTCACGCGACGCCGTACGGGCGCGACGCCGCGGCGCCTAGATATCTCAGGAAGACGGGCGATGTATTCGCTCACAGGGTCGATGATAATGGTCTAGGTACAAAATAGAAAACGAACTTGAAAGTTATTCCATCTGCAATTCTTAGTAGCTAAAGTTGAGAATTGTGTTAAATTATGGAATTAAACTAATTTTACGAATTTTATCACGTTTAACATTAACTTTTTTTATATGTATTTATATTCCCGACGTTTCGGGCACTTTACAGTACCTATTGTCACGAGGGAAACTGAGGTGTTAGACGTTCTGATGTCATCATAGTTAACGAAGGGTACCTGCAACCTTTAATTATTAATTTTTGGAACGATCTACGCAGAACGAGCTTACGGTTTCTTGAAGTCTTGCAGTAGTATGCTTGTAAAATAATAAAAAAAAATTCAATTTTTCTGTTTAATAATTCATCAGATCGTCACTCCATCTAGTGGGGGATCCAACACTGCTCCTGCCAGTACGAAGCTGTCTCTCGAGAACCTTTCTTCCCTATTAGTTGTTGATTATTCGAAGTATATGACCGGCCTATTACCACTTCAGTTTAACTAAACTTACCGTATTTTTTAGAATATAGTGATTGTATATAGGATAAGGGTGACAAACGAGCACGAGTAGTAAGTGGATGCTGTGACCCATAGATACCCACATCTATCCTCAATAAAGAATCAAAATGCAGATGCGTTGTCAACCTGAGGACTAAGATAAAATGCCTCGTTTTCAGTAAAAAGGGTCTTCTAGACCTTCTAGACTCATCATACGAAATATAGCTGCATTAAGTCGCCATTTGGGTCCGGCTGACCCCTTCGTGCTACAACCATAATATAGCTGCAGCGTGGATCTTCTACTGTCAAGCGCAGTGTTGGCTGATCCCCCACTAGGTTGAGTGACAACCTCATAAAACATGCAGTTAGTCAATGGATACAGGTAATTCAGGACTGTACTTTGTGGCAAATTATTGGTGAGGCCCATCTTTAGCTAGTCCACAATTGTAATGAACTGTAATGACGATGACGAACCAAAAAAGATAGGATTTCTCCGTTCGCATGCAAATCATTTTATTTAGAAAAATATCTATTTTAAAAATCAAATGTTATACGTTTTTGTATCAAGATCTTTTGATTTTCATTTAGCTGGAGATAATAATTATATTTTATTCAAATAAATAATATACTTTTACTGAATTAAGATACTTGATCTTCTCCAATACAAATAAGCTGTTTCCAATAGAAATATTAATTTTTAGAAGAAATATTAAACTTTTGATAAAAATTAAAACTGAATTCAAAGAACTAAATGTAATAAAATTATTTCCACAGGTAAATTGTTTAGTGCCTCGTCATTCTGTAAAAAAGCTCATGAAACCAAAATAATTACTCGAACGTCGTACCATCCGACACACACTGTCAAATAATGTACCAATTTAGTAAATACGATTCCTTTTTATAATATAAGGGTGACAAACGCGCACATAGTCCACTTGATGGTAAGCGAACTTGTGGCCCATAGACATCTACATCTATTTTTGTTTAAGAATCAAAATGCAGATGCGTTGTCAACCTTGAGGACTAAGATGGAATGACTAGTTTCCAGTAAAAAGGGTCTCTACACTCACCATACGAAACACAACGGCAATAGGCCGCTATTTTACGCTGGTATTCGAGCGTGGTTCTTCCCCGTTTGAGCCGACCCGTTCGTGCTACAACTATAATACAGCTGGCTTATCGCGTATATTAACTTATTTTACATTCCCGACGTTTCAAGCACTTTACAGCACCCATGGTCACGGGGGGGACTGAGGTGTATGACGTCCCAATGTCATAGTTAACCACGGCTACCTCCAGATGAAAAATTATTAATTTTTGTTCCGATCTACGCAGTATGAACTTACAGTATCATGAAGTCTTGCAGTTGTATGCTTGGGTTGGGATTTAATTTTATTAATTATGGGATCCCAAGCAGATGGTAGCACCCAGCCATCTTCTCTATTGAAATTAGGATGTTTCTTGATTTCAATAGCCTCGCGAATCAT